TCTCTCTCTTCAGCTTTCGCTTACTTGTTGGCCGAGTTTGTAATGCATGAGAAACTACTTGTATGTAAACAATAGATAATTTGTGATAAACTTTGTTTGGCCCAACCATTTAAATTGCTATTCAGACAAATACGAGATAAATTGTATGAAATATAACAAAAAGTCTAGAATTTTTATTAAATCTAAAAGGCATTCATTACTTTCAATATAACAAATGACAGGTACGGATGACTTTTAGGAGAAGTANTCGCTTACTTGTTGGCCGAGTTTGTAATGCATGAGAAACTACTTGTATGTAAACAATAGATAATTTGTGATAAACTTTGTTTGGCCCAACCATTTAAATTGCTATTCAGACAAATACGAGATAAATTGTATGAAATATAACAAAAAGTCTAGAATTTTTATTAAATCTAAAAGGCATTCATTACTTTCAATATAACAAATGACAGGTACGGATGACTTTTAGGAGAAGTAGTTTTATATTATTTTATAGTCACTTGAGTTGTAAGAAAAATTGTTGCCAACTTTTGCAAAGTGTCTAATACTTGTCTATTCACGTTTCCAACAAATGATATTCTGTTTCTTATTCAACAACTTTTATCGTCTATTGTAAATGTTTGACAAATAAATTTAAATGCCTGAATGTTTAGTCGCGACCCCTAATCTAAATACATTATTTATAAATTATAATCAAATTATTTTCATATGTCACTTGAATTTATTAATAATATGACAATAGCTTAATCAATTACTGATTATTATTAGAATTTATTAATAAAACATTTACGATTGTCATAATCAGTTTAACACGAAAACTACCGTATATTTAATTTCACTCTATTTTAGATAATTTTTGGGTTAATATTTAGATCGGAAAAATGTATTCAATGAAAAATCACTCTGAATAGGCGTCCCAATTAAAAATAATAAAGCAAATAATTAATTTAAATACGGACCAAATAAAAAACAAAAATTGATGCAAAACACAGTATGAATATTAACTAAAATGAATTGCATGAATGTGACTAATATATTGTATACTATACTATTGTATTGTATACTAAGTATTGCATAAATTCTTCAATATTTTCAAATTTCTAATTTTTCAACATATTTTTGAATCACAAGTTATTTGTGAAATTGAAATCACTATAAAGATATAGTAATTTACAGGAAATTTGTACTTAATAGATGGTTCACCGTATTTTCATGTGAGTTATTTATATAAAAATGTTTCAAAATTGAGAATCCTTTCAATTGCTAGGATTGTTAGTCACGTTTACCTGACTCTCAATTTTGCATTACAGGTAATACTGTACAGTATTGAGGTTTCGATCGGAAGTCAACGATTTGAGAGTTCGTAACACTAATGAATTGCCCAATACTGTACAATCCTCACCTGTATCTGGCTCATTATTTATAATTATTTTTATAATTAGAGAGAGAGAGAGAGAGAGAGAGAGAGAGAGAGTCTTTAATGAAATTTAAATACTCATAATTAATTTATAAATTTAATTAATTTGTCAATATTTATTTTTTCTTAAAAGCTATTTGTGTTGCTTTATGATCAAGTAAATACAAAATGTATGTATAAGTTGCAAAAAGTACTACGGTAACATTTATTTAATTTTATATTAGACTTAGAAAATCAATTTAAAGACCTAAATATCATAAATTATAATCGGAAACAATTTAAACATTTAGACAAATGTATTGTCTAACCAAAGCAAACATTATTACAACAAAACAACAAATATATGATTAACTGATGTTATTGTAGACTCTATTGATATCTTCGTGGTCTTCCAACTCTTCGATGGCATTGACCACAATCTGAAGAGTTTCCTCGGGAAGTTCTACTCTATTCACCGCCAATAACTCGATTCCACTTTCAATTATCTCATAATTGGTATTCTCTTCGATATATTTCCTCGTTTTGTGACAATTCTGGGTCTCAGTGATGAACAGGAGAACCGACTCGTCTTCTCTCTATTCACCGCCAATAACTCGATTCCACTTTCAATTATCTCATAATTGGTATTCTCTTCGATATATTTCCTCGTTTTGTGACAATTCTGGGTCTCAGTGATGAACAGGAGAACCGACTCGTCTTCCGGACAGGGCTTCACCTCTTCGGCGTCGGCTTCGATGGCCACCTCTTCGGCCGTTTCCACACTAATCTGCTGTCCGGTGGTGTCCTTATCCCTGACCCGAACGATACCCTTCTCTTGGAAGGCGAAGGAAGCCCTGCCGTCGTCGGCAAAGCCGAAGCCGTTGTACTTCTTGAGCAACTTCTTGATGTCATTGCGGAGACCGTTTTTGTTGCCGCACTCGGCGTCCACGACAATGAGACACCCGTTGGGACCTATGATCTCGAGTTTGCACGGATAGGTCTTCTTCTCCAACACCCGTTTGATGGCCTTATCGGTGGTCGTACTCGCGATGTTGGCTCTCCGGCACATATCCATCACTTCCCCGAACTCTTTGTTTATCTTGGGATCAGTTCCGCCGACATTTTTGAGTGAGTGGCGAAGTTTGCCGAGCAATCGGTTGATGACACGCGACTTCTCGGCGTCTTTCGACAGTTTCGTGTGTTTTATGTTTTGCCACTTCGAGTGACCGGCGAACCGATGGCACGATAACTGCCACCCATTGGATCCGGTGGTCACTTCCACCCCCAACAGACTGTTGTAGCAGTGGTTGGCTGTGTATCGCAGGAAGTGATTGCCATTCAGTAGTTGTTTATTAAACAGTTTATTCATTATTAGTTCAATTAGTTTACTATAATTACAATCAAATCCAATCGCAATCTATAGTGCAATACATGTGCACAACAAACACATTATTTATGTGCCATTCAGTGATAACGTCATTGAAATCATGTAATATTGTAATGTGATTATGACTACGGCTATAAAATACATACATTGCTTAATTATGATTACGTTAATGTTAAATTATTCAGTGGATAATATGTAATTATTAATTACTCAAATATATAAAACTAAAATAATTATGTCCCGTAATAGTCATGAGTTAGGGTTTAAGAGTTTGTAATGTTTTAAGAAGTTTAGAGTTTAAACTTTATAGGATTCATGCAATCAATATCTAGTTATTCTAATAATTTGTAGTTTAATATACAATATTAGCATATCATTTATTATTCAATACTCCTTGAAATACAATTTATAACTCACTTTATTCTTCATACTGTTCAATAAATTTACAAAGATTACTTTATCAAGATGCAATAAATTTATAACGAGCGAGCGAGCGAGAGAGAGAGAGAGAGAGAGAGAGAGAGAGAGAGAGAGCACATAAATTAGTAGATTACAAATGAAATTAATTGCCGATACAGTACTGTACAGTATATAATACTCTAATATTGAAATTCATGTCATAATAAGTGATAAAACGATAGTTTTTGTGGCAAAAGACAAGTTTGTGAAACACAACAACACATCATTGATTGCAAGCCTGTCATAGCCTTCAAGTGAACGATCGCTGCATTCATTGCATTGCATTCACGTCAAGGACTCGACGTTTGTTTCAAACTTACAAACAGTTGACACAAAACAGTGGAAAACGGTGTCGTTGTCTCACTGTCTCGCCAATCAATCGCTCATTTGATCCACTCTTGGATCGGCACAACCAGCGCATCCATTGCACCAAATCAGTGACACTCACAGTGACAGAGATGGCCGAAAGTGACGGCACTTCCGGCGACCAGAGCTGGAGAACCAATTTGTTGCGACAAAACGTCAGAAACAAAATGTATGTCAACTCGTGTCTGGAGCTCATTGTCTGTCCATTGATTCAATTCTTTGATTATCTCTCATATGATTGGTGTTGACAGCGAGGAAGCCATCCGTCTGTCGGGGAATCCGACCTCAAAGACTGTGGCGGAGATGGAGAACCATATCTTCCTTAAGGCCAGGACTAAGGTATTGACCAAACATTTACAGACAATGTTAAGAAGTGACACGAGTTGGACACCAATCCCTTTAGTCCACCACTGGATGTGTCACACATGACATCTAATCATAAGATATATGAATCCCGATTTTAGTCCACTTTTAAACCCATTTCAATGGATATCCTCTTTGTGTGACTGCTTTGACGGCTATTTGTTTCATAGTTTCCTATATTTATTGCTTGTATTTACCATTGAATTAATGTATTGTCTGAATGGCATCCACAGGAGGAATACCTATCATTTGTGGCCCGACTTATACTTCACGTCAAAGAAATGAGTGAGTCTTCCGTTGTCTTATCTCTTAGTCTCTAAACTAATATCTATTTTACGATAAGAAGTGTTTGTTTTGTTTTTGAGAAACTAATTAATGAGTGAAAGAGTTTAAGAAATGCTAAATAATATCATAATAAGTATTAGCGGATAGTATTGCATAAAGTGTTGCCGTTTCGCACCGGTATTACCCAAATGATGGGCACATGTCTCGTGTGGTCCTAAGGGTCTGAACGCAGAGCACAGACAGACAATCGATACGCGAATTAAAGCAGTGCTCAGGCGTTGCATAAGTGCACGAAAACTTTCATTACATAAACCAAAGTCTAATCACGACTCAAAAATCAATAGAAATGTCGCTAAACTCTGAATGACTTCTCGTATTACAAACAGACAGTAATACACTTGACAGTGAATTTACGTTTGGAAATGAATTTGAATTAAATTCACGCAACATTTGCTCACAATTTTGTACCCAATTTATTGAAACAAATTCTTCCAGAAAAATGTTTTCCACCAAATATTTATGCCATTTATAAGTATGAGACACAAACCTATTGAGTCACTACTCTCTGCGTGTACTATAGAGTATCCAAATGTGTTTTAATTATAATTTTAATATACATTTCATGAATAGACTCCAAGAAGCAACAGCAACCTGTTGTTGGGGGCGTTGTCGGTCCATACGTCGTTTACCACCCGAGTCGCTAATAGCCGCCTGTCCATACACAACAGCTCGTTACTAAGTTAATAATGATCGCAAATCATTCTTATCACATAAACACAGTCAAATGCATTGTTCTGTATAATTGAATGAGTGATTAAATGCAATCAAATGATTAGCAATCGGATCCTATGAGTGCCCTCCAGAATATGGCCGGTCCGACGCCTATCAACGATATCTCCAATGGAAACGCAATGCATGTGCCGATGGGTAACGTTGGCAACGACCAGATGATGGTCAACAACCCGTCCTCGCAGATGATGCCCAACATGTCAAACATGTCTCACATGACTAACAACGCGATTCCCAATCAAATCAATCAAAACCGAGTCCAGAATCCAATGGCTATGACTGGCAATAGAAGTGAGTTATTGGATGTGATTTACAGGCGACTCAATTAGTTTTGTTTATCCAGTGATGAATCAGCAAATGATGGGACAGACCACAGCCCGACCCCAACAGGTGCTCTCGTCTAACATTCAGGTGCATCTACAGAGGCTTCAGCGACATTCAGCCCCTAATATAGGGAATGTAAGGCTAACTTAATTTGGAGTAGACTTCTGTTTATGGTATTTATGTAATGTTATTGTGTTTTGATATATAAAGCAAATGCCCGTTCAGAATACCATTCCTGATAACAAGTACTTTGATGGACACCCGATGTCACAAATGCAAAACATTAATTCAGTGAATGGTCCGCAACAGACCCAACAATTTAAAGGTCAGCCAATGAACCAACAGATGAGTGGCCAACAATTTGCACCGAGCAATCAGAACACACTAATGGTTCAGAACCAGAACCAGAACCAGAATCAGAACCCAGGGATGAATAATATGCAGTCCATCAACCAATTAAACCCTTCGACACCCCAAATGATGCCTTCCCCGTCAGGATATGCTCCCAGTCCCTCACCAATGATGCCCTCACCGCACAGTAATCTTATTCGACCATCAGGTCCAATGAGTGCACCATCACCTCAGAGCATTTCACTCAACACTCCCGGTGCGTCTATTTTGGAGTCAATTATTTATACTGTTCTCAACCATTGCTTATATTTAAAGCCAATATTATGATCGCCTCTCCCGGCTCTGTGGGCCCCGGGGGTCGACCCGTCAATGAGGAGGAAATATATCTCCAGAAACTTCGAAACCTACAGAAATACGTGGAACCCCTCCGCAAAATGATCGCTCGCATCGATCAGGACGACAGGTCTGTCCTCTCATTGCAATCATTGATTGTCTCTTTGTTTCCATAATTGTAATGATTTTGTGAACAGATTTTCAAACGACAAGAAGAAAGAATTGGATAAAATGAAGAACTTGTTGAGCATTTTGACGGACCCGTCGCGCAGGTGTCCAATGAGTACACTTGAAAAATGTGAACAATTTCTTGAGAAAATGGACTTTAAAATTAAGGTTTAGTTTGAGTTAATGTGTGAATAAAAGTACGGTTTGTAATCATGTTTGGTATTAGACGGAGACCAGTGTTGCGCCCACTGCTGGACCCGTGCCCACACATCCTGTGCCTAAACTACAGGATGTGTGTCAACCCCTGTTGGACGCCATAACCGCACACATAAAGAAGCCGTTAATTAACCACACATTGCAGCGCACGTTTGGTCCGGCGCTCACCGCTCTCACTAACAACGCATATAAGCAGTCGAGTCCTCCATCTCTTAAGAGGAAATACGAAGACGATTTGCTGCAGAGACTTCATGAAGTTCCTCTCTAGCGCGCTAATCTAGGTGCTAAATTTCAGGTTAACCTAGGCAACGTTGTGTACCCGAGGTTTTGGTAAGTAGAGTAGACATTTAATCCAAACAAAACTATTTTGTTTACCATTTATTTTGATTTAAGTAATGATTGAGTTTATTGTACGATAATAGACGACAAGGACCTGCCGTGTGTGCCGCCGATTGCCATCCGAGTGCCCGACTCGTACCCCGAAAAGCCTCCGCAATGCAGTACAGATGCCCTCGAATACAGCGCTTCCGTCTTTTTTCAGGACATCCAGAAGAAGTTTGACTCAAATGTGGATAAATTGCCGCAAAGCTTCTCAGTGACCACTTTGCTTAACAGTTGGGTAAGCATTCACTCGTTTAGCCTGATTTTTATCACTCACTCTAATCATTGATTTGATTTGATTTGATTGCGTGAATAGGAGTTGAGTGTCCGACAGGCCGTCTCATTAGCACTCGACACCATCTCTATCTAAATATCAATTATATATTACTTTTTCGATTTGTTTATACCGTATATTGTTTATGCAAATAATCAAACTCTAAATTGTGTTTTTTGTTCATTATGTCAACTCTTAATTTATTAAAATAATTTAAATATTGTAAAGGTTAAACTAATAAAAATGTTTAAAAATAACTATCGTATCTGTCTATTAATACTTGTGAATGCAGTCATTATATTATTAATTGCTGTCGGAATTTATACATATTATTATACAAGTAAATAAATATTTGGTGTTTTTGTATCTACTTAATGTTTTAACCAGTTATATCTCAACATTCAGTTCATTTAATACATGTTTAATGAGTTTGAAATTGTGAAGTTATATAAACCAAGCGCTAAATTTTAACACAATTGGCAAAACCCTAGTTATTTTGCTAAATNCGCTAAATTTTAACACAATTGGCAAAACCCTAGTTATTTTGCTAAATATATTGGTTTATAGCTTTTTTGGTTTAAAAATAAACGGATTCTTCATTTGATTGCTTTAATATATTGATTTTAAAATGTGCACTAATTTTTTTTGCACTAAATCCACACGCATTGCACTGTACCAGTGACAATCTGTACAGTGACAATCTATACAGTGACAATCTGTACAGTGTAGCTATTCTACTGCATATCGATTGATAAATGACTAAATATACTCTAAATTCAATTCTTATTTAACAGAATCTGACGGCTGTAGTGAACATTATATTAAAAGTTAAGAGATCATTTATCTTTATAATTAGACATACATTAATAATAATTATCTTATTATAAAATTTACATCAATCATTAAAGGTTTGGAATTAATTATCGGAATATGTCATTTTTAAAACCAAGCATAATCATATTGTCCCAAAAATATTAGTAATAAATTAATCTATACATAAAAGTTTTAATTAAAATAATATTGTCTTATTTATTATAAAACTTGTAGAGCATATACAAATTAATATAAATATAGCTTATATACTGTGTATTCTATATAAGTATTTATCAATGATATTAAAATATTATTATACATTTTAGGTCTAATTTCTATATGTCATTGAATATAACTTATTTGATTAGAAAGTGACTCAATTTCCAAAACCCTTAGGGGTTAAAGACATAGCGATTTTCAGTTTAGAAAACTATTTTAGAAATATATTACTCGCGAAAGACTTGTTCAGCTGAAAGACTTAAAATTTGGTTCAAATCAAAAGTCGGATATATTTTGGTATAAATGAAATGATGTAATGCTTTACGGGATTATCGGAAATATTATAAGTTATTTAATACTTAAAAGTGCTGTTCATTGCCTTTTGAGTCATGAAATGTATTGATATAAATACGTTATCACATCAACGATAAGCTATTTATAAATTATTATATATTCTTTATGTTTTGACTCAAGAATTAGCGATAAAACTAAAGCAAACCATTAAGAAGATTCTCAAAAAAAATTCTTACTGTTAATGCCGACTCTGACATACACTACACTTTAAATGCTAAATATATTAATTTCTTACATCTTACGTTAAAATTAATTAAACATTATGATAAAGGTTAGGGATTTATTAATATTTATTATAATTAATTACACACAAAATTTATATACACAGGTTTATGTTCAGAAATTCATAAAAATTCATAAATCTTACAATACTTAACTTAAACTTGGTAAGTTGTACTGTATTTGTATTTTACTAAATGATACCATAAATTAATAAAACGTTAATTATATAAATGAAAATCTGATTAATGAAATGCAAAGGTCATTTAAATAATTCAAACAGAATTAGTTTTATTAAACTCGGTTTTGTGTTGAGGAATAATACCCATACGTTTGCCCAACTCTTTGAATCTGATGACAATCTCTTCCTGAACCAAATTGAAAGACATGGCCAGCAATGAGAGGCCCACTATTAGGTAGGCGCAGCATATGATAAACTTTGTCTGCTCCTCCTTATTGTCCGAGTATTTGGCAGATCCGGGCACCAGATCGCCGAACCCTATGGTGGTGAGTGTGGTGAAGCAGAAGTAGGCGCCCTCCAGAGGACCCCACCCCTCCTCCCACAGCGAGAACATGAAAGCGCCGGCCATTATATAACTAATGACCAGAAGGATGACCAGCCATATGGGAACCCTATCGCTGTCGTCGTTGCCTTCAATTGTCTCCTGAATGACCACTAAATCGTTGTTTTGCTGATTCAGATCACTGTGTAATGGGTTTGAGGGAAACGATCGCAAAGGACTGGACGCTTGCGATGACGTGACAGAAGTGGTCGGAGGTGTGGACGCCGTCAACGCTATTATTGATCGCACTTTTTGGTCGTCATTCTCACTGAAAATCACTTCCACTTTCTTCTCACTGTCGGCACAAAAGTTTTTGTCGCAATTTTTCAGTTCAATCTTCTCTTTCTGAGGCTTATGTTTGTGATTGTATTTTGTGGACACTTTCTCACAGCAACAGAAACACAGACAACACAGTCGTTTGTAACTGAACCGAAATGTCTGAGCCATCAAATTGCCTAAGTTTGCCAAACACAGGAACATCACCGGTATGCCCAACAACGCGTATATCATTGTCACTATCCGTCCCAAATCGGTCTTACAGGTCACGTTCCCGTACCCTATCGTATACGTAATACCATAAATTAATAATGCTGTATATAGCAACAAATGTATCATGATTATAATATTTCATTTTAAAATACTGTATGTTTTCCGATTGAATAAACTTCAATTTAGAGCAATGGATAAAATTTTTAAATTTATTTTTATTTACAAAGCTATTCATCACTTGGTAATGTCATTTGACCCCACATTGAGATTTGTTACTAGTTTTTAAAAGAACTTGCTTCCTTAGATTTATGAATATTTTTCTACATAATAATCATTTTTATGGTTGTCTACAGAATACGAGAATATATTTAATGGACTCATATATTCTTGAATAGGAAGAATCAACTCAATCTTAATGTTAATTTGTTATTAAGGCATACACTGTACAGTACTGTACTTACAGTGTAGTATACAGTATGAATGTAAATGAAAAAATTGAATAAAATTTTTTATATAAACATTTGTCGGTATTTGAATAGACGGTAACAATTTTTATAACATTGTAATAAATCATGTGATTAAATAATTACTTAAACAAAGTAGAAAGTTATATATTCTGAGAAATATTATGACTTCATTAAGTTCGCGAAAAATGAATTGCCATTCTGTAGGCATTCAATATAAACCAAATGTAAACACAAGACCTCACTTTTATTTGAAGTAAAGATAATAACACTTGAAATTCTGAGTAAATATAAAAGATTTCAATTGAATAAAAGTTATTTCAATAACAGAAAAATCTTTCAGCGGTCAGACAAATGTGTGAAAAGGCTTTTATAAACTCCTATAAGACTTATAGAAAATTTTTCTTTTTGTCAATCCTTTTGACGCTTAAGTTTATCTTTGCTTTCATTTATTTATTGTTCAGATTTTACTTTTACTGAAACAGATATTATTTCAAAAAATAAAAAGTTTACTCGTTGCTTGAGTTTCATCGACATCCGAGTCTATTTGTCAAGTTTTCATGTTTTTAATGGTTTTCATGGTTTGGTATATTTGTTAATTAATGTTTGCATTCTTTGCAAATTCTTTGCAACTGTTTCATCAAAATTGCTATTCAGAGGATGATTTAGATATATTAGAAATCTTTTGTTATTTTTACAAACTCAATAAATATTTAAATATCATAATTAAACCTATGATAAATAGTTTAATATCAATTCAATGTAAAAATAGCAAAAAATTATATTTATAATGATAAAATTAAGAATTAGTTATATTAGTATATTATTATTAAATTTATGATATAGATTTAGGTATTATAAAACCTATATTAACAATTATAATAATTTTATAACTATAATTCTAAAAAGTATAGTAGTTGTTTGCGATATTATTATGTAATTCTGGTGTTAAATTACCGGGATATTTATCAATTTAATACAATTACACGGAAGAATTACTTATGTTTATAACAATCTTAAATATTGTGTGCTCGTTTACTTCATAATTAATAAGTTATAAACCACTATAACTTACTATACTGTACAATTCCAGTACTAACGTAATTAAGTGAAATAAAGAACATTTTTTCCTGTTATAATTAATTATTTTGTAACATTATAATTTTTATCATAATGTTATAAAAATAAAATTTAATTTATGAAGCTTATTTAAATGTAATGTTTTGCATGAACATAATTTACATATTAATTAATTAACATGATAAACATATACTGTATGATGCTAACCAACAATTGAATCATAAGAATCATAAGAATTCTTTTGAGATTGATTTACATTCACAGCAAATAATGTGAAGTTATTCTCATATTTTTATTTGTTTTGCTATGTTTTCGCGTAAATGTCTGATTCTTAATGTTTATTCGTGTCGATCATCACAAACTGAGTGAACTAAACAAATAAAAAGCAATATTTTAAATGAGATGTCATTCATTTCAAAAGAAATGGGAAATTAAGTATAAAATTACAAATCTTTCGATTCTGTCAAATAACTTATATGAATCCTACTTTTGTTAGCAAAAAATCGTTAATTTATTATCACATTATGAGTGAGACTCGTGTTATTCTCGACGAGTGTTCAGACAAATTGTATGACCGATACTGTAGTCAACACATCAAAAGAGTGACGTTTTGTGAAAATCTAATATTTGAGCGAAAATCTCACAAAATATATAATCAAATAAATTCGGATGAAATCATATTTCACTATTTGTTATAAATTTGTGTATAATTTGATGTCTTTCCATGAATGAGTCAAACGAGTGAATCGATTTAATCAAATTCAATTCCTGTAGACGTTTTTGTGTTACCCTCTTATGACTTGTAATTATAATCTTAAATTCTTTGGAAAGCTACTTTATTTTTTACAAACTCATTAATGTTAATAATTGAGTTAGATTTATTAAATTAAATTAATGATACTAAAATTGTTTGTAAAATAAAAATTAATTATTTAGAAAATAATTTGTTTTATTTTCTAGTGATGTCTACTTCAAGTTTTAAAATTTAATTTAGATTCTGTATAAGAGTATATTTATTGCAGTTCAATGTTTAAGATTGTTTCAAAATACTGTATATTACTTACAATAAAATAATTACAACTTATGTGAGTTTATCATATTTTGCGAAGAAAATATTTTTATCGTAAACATTAATTTTAAAATAATATAATTTCATTTTATAAATATGATTTATAATTATATACACATAATCACTAGATTATCTATCTTATTTAATCCCGCTGAATTACTGGTTAAATTATAAGTTGCTTCCAGAAAAAATTTAAAGCTGGTATTTTATACAACATAGTATTTTTAATACATTTTTAATTTCATTTCTAAATGATCAGTGAACTGACTCACCAATAGTAGTAATAACGGTGACGCTGTAGAGGAGGGCCCCCGAAAAAGTCCACTGCTCTGAAGAGCCTCCATATCCATCTTCTCTGACAGCTTTCACAATGATTTCCTCAAACTTCTTGAGTCTAATTTGTGTCTCATTTATCCATTTCTCTGGATATAAAACATTATAATTATTGGTTTGATTCCAGAGGTCTACAGCGAACTCTTGTCGCTGTTTTTCGATATCGTTTTGTGTCTGTACTTCGTGTTTGGACTCGAGGTATGTGAAGATGAAGGCGCCGACACAGGTGTAGGCGATCACAAGCAGACACAGACCGGTTGTCGAAAACAAATGCGTTAAAAAGACTTTCAAGTAATACAGGATTCGGTTAAATCTTCGCTTTCGGGTGGCTTTCGCCTCATCCGATGTAAACCATCGGCTCTTCCATCGTCTCATTGTTCGCATTAATCGCTCCTCAAATGGATTCAAACCATTTTGCGGTGCGTTTGGCCGACGGATACAACTCTGGCTCGAGTGCGTCCCTTTTGGATCAGTGGACACACATTCACTGCAATCTTCTCTTAAGTGTTTGCATTTGTTGTCCACATTTGGCGACAAATCTTTGCTATCATTAGCGCTGTTTGGCTCACATTGGGTCACAACAAGAGTCACATTATTGTCGTCATTAAGAGTGTCGTGAGTTTGTGGCAAACTTTCGCAGATTGGCTTTTGATAGCATCGAGGCATCAATTGGGTATCATTGGTATCAGTGGTGTCAGTGCTGTCAGGGATGTAAGTCCTGCGCAAAGAACCAATTCGTGTAAACTTTCGTCGCGGAGGAGCGCATAGAGTTGTCTGCGAGTCGTTGGCTGTCATCTCATCCGACGACTTATTTTCGCCGCATTTCTCACGACTTTCGCTATCATTCTCGACATTTGGTTCACTTTGGCTCTCATTAATTACAGGCAAAACAGATTCACTCGAGTTTTGCGGTATATTTTGCTCGTCTGAAGACATAATTAATTTTATGGAGAAAAAAGTAAAAATTACATTAATTTTATGAATGCCATAATTAATAGATAAAACTGCGGTATTAGTAATGCAGACATTTTTGACAAACAACGAAATTCACGTAATTTTGCGTAAAAGAAATTTTCGGCAAAATTTATATAAACAAACATTTGAGTCGTAAATATGTGAACAAAAATCTTCAGTGAATTAAAGCACGAGAATATAATAGAGAAGTTGAGCCAATGTTTGGGGTAATTGTATAACAAAATATATAACTTATATAACTATTGAGTATATCTTTAGTAACATTTTCTGCGCACAGTTTTTAATAATAGTTGTGACTATGTTTGAGACCAAAAAATTGAATCACAATCACAATCGTTGTCACATCTTAGGGAAGTTTCTGTTGAATGCATTTTTCCATCAATTTTTGGGTTATATATAGAGCTTACAGTAAGTCATTGATTGCAATCGTATAATTCATTTATTAGTGTCTAATGATTAGCCAAACAATTTTAATGATTTAATCACAGCTTATATCATACTTAACATAAATATACTGTAAATTAAGTCAAAATCTGTTGTGACACTATTTAGTGGCGAATTTACACAAAGAATTTGAATGCTTTTTGTGTTGATCTACATACAAAGTTTATTTATAACTTAATGTTGACTTTATTGCAAACAAATGTATGAATGCTATGAAAGCATTGAATCCTATTTTTTGAGTTCCAAAAGATCTCAACAGAGATGAGATTTATTTGCTTCAAGTGTTAAATAAATGAATTACTGGTTCCTAGTTATATAAAGTTCTTGTTTTCACACTTTCTGTGTTACAAATAATTGTGTAAAAATTTTGTTGAAACAAAGTAGCTTTGGTGTCTAATAAATGTAGTGTGATCATATAAAATTTAATATTCAATTATTCTCTATGTAAATAAATATGAAATATTAAGTTATACAAAGTAGAAAAATTATAGTAAAAAGTTTTAAATGTTAGCATTAAATTAAATCAATTTCAAATGTGATGATATCATTGTATGAAATTATAAATTGTTTATTTATACTGTACATAGAATCTGTATTATAGATGCATTATTTTTAGTTTACAAAATTTTAAATATCATTATAATTAAATATACAAAATTAAAAGTTTAAGAGTACTCATCGATAGAAATAATGATATGTTAGAGACAACCAATTCTTTACTTTATGTATTTCATTGCAAATTAATATATATTTGTATTTATAATTAAATAATCACTACTTCCCAGAAACCATCATTTATTTAACACATGAAGTCGTTTAACAAATGGATTTCATTTAAATGTCAATCCTATGACACAATAATGATCTCATAGAAGATTTTCTTATAACTAATAGTCAAAACTCATGAAATGATTTTTGTTTTGTAAACATTTTATTAAGTGCTACTTTTCAGTTTAAATAATTAGTTCAGTTAAATTAATTAAATTAATAATTTGATAAAAATAATCGGTTGGCTTAACAAATAATGTGTTTCAATATTAATAAAATGTGTAACAAATTATTAAAATGGCTTTAAACATGAAAATATTAGCCAAAATGGTAATATTTAAATCCAAAAATAACACATTTAAAGACTAATTACTAATTATTTAGACAATATTTCACGACAGTTATCGTACATAACATTGACTTATCGTTGAAAGCAGTGATCAAAGGCAACCCAAACAGCGCCAACATCTGCATCGTTGCCGTCAATATAAATCACAGGAATGTTTAGCTTCTTCTCTAAAATCTCAGTCATTATGGGATTCTTGAAGAGCGCACTCCCGGTGCCAATGACTCGCCTGACACCCGCTCTCATTATATACTCGATTGACATCATCGAAAATATATTGTCGATTAAACCGCCACAGAAGGCCTCGAATATGTGATTCAATTTAATTGAATTACTTATGTTTTCTACCGATCCTTTCAGTCGTGTATTATGTCTCTCACCAAAGAGTGTGGGCTTTACTATAATCTCATTCATATTAACACTATCTTTCGCTCGACTTTCGTGTAATTTCAGAATTTTCTCCCAAATCTGTTCGTCACTTATTTCAATGTCTGTCATGTCTTTAATGGTATTCCTCACGAATTCTACCAAATGTTGCAAAACATTTCCGCCGTTAAGACTGGCGGCCACTGATAGATAGCTGCCATCGAAATATGGGAAGTAATCAATCGATTTAAACATCGTTTCGCTTTTCTTTTCCGGCGTAAAGCTCTTATCCATTAAAATACTCAATTGCATGGATGTGCCTATACTTAGCACTACATAAGTAGAAGTTTCAATTATTTTTAAACTTAAGCTCTGTTTATAATAATTATTTAATACCGGCTGTATGTGGATTATCCCGGAGATTAGCATAAGTAGCGCATTGCATATCACCCAAAGCCACCATCACTGGTGTCTTCGTCTTAATTCCTAACCAATTAAACTGAGTCTCGCCGGCAATGGATCCAC